GGGGGGGGGGATGCAAAATTTTTAGAAGAAGGTACGAGAGATTGCCTGGGGGTATAGTTATTTTTTGGGGGACTTCAAGGGGGGTCCTAAGAATTTTTTTGTCATTTAAAGATTTCACCTGCCCGCCATACATTATGAACACAGCCTTACATTGTAATGTACATTGCATGGATCATCAGCAAATAAGAGTAAAGATCAAGACAATTGCTATTTTACAGGAACTGATTTAGAAGGGAGGGGTGGAGACCTTACCAGTGCCACTAATTTTAGAAGAGAAATCTTGGATTTTGTTCTCAAATATTTCCAAAATTAAAAGTCAAATCACAAAAATGAATGTACTGGTCTGTGAAGGTGGCTGACTACTTTTGAACGTTCAATTTGAGCCCACTATGTGCAAGTGCTTGAAAACCACTGAATAATCTTCACGATTTCTATTGAAGAACTATGCGCATTTTGAACTTCAAGAGGGCAAAGCCCTCAAATTTTGCGTGGGACTCTATATTTTTTGTTCTTGTGCTCAATTTTTACGATAACTTGCATACCGCAGAACCTGAACAAAAAAAGTATTTCCATTGTGTACAATTTTTCATTAAAACAACTTTTATCAGTATTTTATAAATAAAGTTACGTGTTTGGAGAAAATTACTTGTTTCTTCCTTAGTTTCGGTTTTATGATTTTTTTTGTACAGAGCTTGATTTTTGCTTATTTTTTCTTCCAAAATTGTATGAACGCATGTCATTCCGGATTGATTATCTCAAAAACAAGCTCAGGGCATCCATTTTTCTTTGCATTTTTGAGATAAGCATTAAATTTCAAGTTAAAAAGTTTCAATTTTCAATTTTCTGTTTATTATTCTCACAAAGTAGTCAGCCACCTTAAACAAAAATTAAAAGTCAAATCACAAGAATGAATGTACTGGTCTGTTAAACAATGGGTGTGTGTGTGGAAATGGAGAAGAGGTTGCTACTGCTAACTAAAACCTAAATCAATACGAACAGGTCTCTCTTTATAAAACCATTGTTGAATCTCAAGATACAGTTACAAAATAACAATGTTTTCATTGACATTTGTACTCTATAAATTCTTTATCCCAGGTTACAGAGGTTTTAAATTCAGTTTATTCTTGGTTGGCTTCATATTTGCAACCTTGATCACATTCGTCATCCTCAACAACCACACCACCCTTCCCTTGTGGGGCTTGATTGCTGTTTCTCTGGCAGTTGGACTATTCTGCGGCCTCCTTACAACCTTTGTCATCTACTGCGGCTTGTTCCTGGGTGGATTTTCTTTTGGATTCTTCATTGGTATTTTTATATTCTACATTGTGCATCTGTTTATTCACATCACCATCAAGTGGATTCCATTCGGCATTCTTCTTGGTTTGAGTCTCATTTTTGGAATCTTGGCCCTGCGATTCCAGAAACCTTTGTTTATCCTCTCAACATCAATGCTTGGAGGGGTGCTCGCAACTGGTGGTGTAGACTATTTTGTGGAAGGCTTTGAGCTGCTAGATTTCACTTGGAAAAGAATAGTGGCAAGTGATGGACAAATTACATGCTGGGTTACCTGTGTGGTGTTGGCAATATGGCCAGTACTTTTTATAATGGGAAACTTAATTCAGTTTGTCAAGACAGGGAAAACATTCAACCACTTAGCAGGTACTGGAAACAAATTTTTAATCTATTATTGCCCCCCTAAAATTACACATTTCCCAAAAAAGATACCCCTATACCCCCT